ATTTGAAAAATAAAATCGAATGTTCAACTAAATTTAATAAATAAAATCATACAATAAAAATAAAAGTAAAAGTGAAATTCATATTGCATACAAGAAATATACATATTACAAATATTTGCATTTATACAAAAATAAAAAAATATAAAAATAAAAACAAATAAATAAAATTTAAAATTAAAAGTTGTGCGCATTAATTGCTTGAATATTTTGTAAAATAAATTATAAATACATATATGACAAAAAATAATTACATGTCAATTTCTGATTGTGAATTGCAGTGTAAAACGCAATAATAATTGATATTATTGCAAAATATTTCAGTATATTTATAAGCGTTTCAAAAAGTGCATAAACAAAAGAAAATAAAGAAAATGTTTTAAGTAGAGAGGAACAACAAAGCGAGAAAAACAAGAGACAACAATAAGAGATTAACAAAGGAAAACAAGTGGCAGATCAGTTGCAAATCATTTGTACAGCTAAAGATACTTTTGACAGATACAGATACTTTGCAAGCTATAGATACTTCTAGAGCGCTAGCTGCAAATATATTTGCCATGAGCATGCCTCAAGTGCGAGGCAGCAGCAAGGGTTGCTACCCGCTAATGCTGCTGCTGCTGCTCCTGCTGGCCGATCTGGGCTACACCGAGGAGCATCCGCATCGCCACGCCCACAATGGCACAACCAGTGCACCGAACGGAGCTCGCGCACGGCGCAATCATCTGCAGTCGCAGCGCTTGCAGCAGCTGCAATGGGCACAGGCTGGCAACGGATTGGACGGACTGCAGCTGGGCAACGGCTACCATCACTTGAGGCACGAGCAGCACTTGCGGGCAGAGCTGGCGGGCAACGAGCAGAACCGGCAGCCGCCGTTGCCAGACCAGCTGCTGCTCGGCGGGCCGGGTGAACAGCATCACTTGCGTCATCACAATCGGCATCATGCTGCCTGGCAACAGCGCGTTTTTCCCGAGCTGCGGCAACAGTCGCTGATGACGACCCCGGCAACGGCAACGGCAGCGGCTCCATCGACCACAGTCGCTCCCGTCACTCAGGTGGTAACCGATGCACCAGTGCAGCATGCTGCCGCCAATGATAGCAACATTTATTCCTCGAGGCGCTATTTCGATCGCGATTCCATTTCAACCGCCTGGATGCAGGCGCGTTCGACGCGTGCGCCCAACTGGCAGCAGCAGCTCGTGGACAGCGATGAGGATGACAGCGCAGATGATGACGATGATGAGGACGATGATGATGACGAGGACTACGATGACGATGAGATGGATGATCAAGCCGATCAGGCAGTGAACGTGGCTGCCGAGCTGGCCAAGCAAATGCCGCGCTACTCCTTCTTCAGCCAGAAGCTGCCGGACTTGAGTGCCAGCGAACAGGATTACGACTACGATCAATCCGAGTCGAATGCACCCAGCAGCAACAGCAACAACAACAAGCATCCAAATGTGGCAGCTAATCACCCCAAGGCAGCAGCCAAGCGCAACATCTTCAATTGGCTCTTCAAGCCCAGCAAGGAGAAGGTGCAGCTGCAGCTGAAGACAACAACGGCAAAGCCCAGCGCAGATAGCTCAAGTCAGGAGCAGCTCTTCTCGAACGAGCAGTGGAACAAGATCGAGCATGAGCATCATCTGAAGCAGCAGCAGCATCAGAAGGAACTTCAGGCATTGCGCGACAGCATCAGAAACAGAAATGCGCCGCTGATAAGAAACCGAGCCGTCGTTGGCATTGATAATGAGGTAAGTTTTGGCATTGCGCCCATTCAATTATATACATACTTATATACACATAGCTATATAGCTTATACATTTTTATTGTCATGATGTCATTAGACATTGTTGTAAATACGCAGCGTAGCGAGATAAGTCAGCGACAGCGGCAGAATGGACCGCAAATTGGGTTGGTTGGTAGCCAGACACTGGTCAACCAGCTAGACAAACACAAACAATCCGAGAGACAAACAGAAATCAAATCAGGCACGCATACACACACACGTACAATAGTTACACTGTAGAAAAAGCAATAAAACACGCTGAGTCACTCGAAAAGTTTAAAGCTATATGCGCGGGTTGTTTGAGTGAAGTGAAGGGAAGYTACAGAAATACGGAAAATAGAAGTATATCAAATATAAATATATTTATATAGATAAATATATCTATCAAGTCTAGAAAAAAACAAAAAAACAAAAAAAAAAAAAGTATTCATTTGTTTAATACAAATTGAATTTAAATCAAGAGCAAAAGTGATAAGCTCAATATTGTAGCAATATAATATACATATATATCAATAAGTTAATTAATAACAAAATAATAAAACATAATTTCGAATCAAAATATAAAAAAAAA